CCAGGTGCGTCTCTGCTGCCTCACCCGGTGCGTCTTATGTGTGCTTCACACTCTTGCCTCACTGTCTGCTTCTGCTGCCTCACCCGGCGTGTCTGCTGCCTCACCAGCGTGTCTGCTGCCTAACCCGGCGTGTCAGCGATCTCCCAAGGTGACGACAATAGTTTGAGGCACATTGCACCTGTCTTGAAACCTGGCCAGGTATTTGCCACTTGTCACTGTTCACTCTCTTGAGCTGTTTTAGTATCTTTGTAAATATTTCCACAAAAGGAATAGCTATTTGGCATTCGGCCTCTTCCCTGCCAGTTAGCTCCCCGGGCCTTTTGTTTTTAGGTAGCTTTTATATTGTCAATATTAAGTACGGTGTCGCGGCTGCTGCTAGGACCTGGGGGGGTGGGAGAGATCTTGAGATGATTTCGGGGCTTTAGTGTCCCCGCGGTCCGGTCCTCGACCAGGCCTCCACCCCCAGGAAGCAGCCCATGACACCTGACTAACACCCAGGTACCTATTTTACTGCTAGGTAACAGGGACATAGGGTGAAAGAAACTTTGCCCATTGTTTCTCGCCGGCGCCTGGGATCGAACCCAGGACCACAGGATCACAAGTCCAGCGTGCTGTCCGCTCGGCCGACCGGCTCCCCTGGGGGTGGGGGGGTGGGTGGAGCATTGCACAAGTGGCCACAATATCTAAGAGTAACGTTGGGCAGAAGTTAACAATGATGGGCAAACGACGTTCATCCACCGTTACTCGACTTTCCTTTCCCTCTCCCAGAGAGAGCACCCCAGCGGCTGTAGCATGACGAGCCCCTATCCTACCCTCCTGCTGGTACTGGTGGCGGCCGCTGCCTGCTTCAGGGGGTGCCAGGCCGCCCCGGCCCCCCAGCTCCTGCCTCCACCGGAGCCGTCCACCTCGGCCGCCACCACCACCCCGGCTCCTCCGGTCGTCACACCCTCCACCATCAAGTACAAGGTCTGCATCATCTACATCCTCTGCCCCGACGTCGACACCAACACAGCTGTCTACCCGGGCAGCGACGGCTTGATTGGGTAGTGAAGTCCCCGCTCGCGCCGTTGGAGGGGTAGGGAAGTCCCCGCTCACGCCGTTGGAGGGGTAGGGAAGTCCCCGCTCACGCCGTTGGAGGGGTAGGGAAGTCCCCGCTCACGCCGTTGGAGGGGGAGTGAAGTCCCCTCTCGCGCCGTTGGAGGGGAGTGAAGTCCTCTCTCACGCCGTTGGAGGGTGAGTGAAGTCCCCTCTCGCGCCGTTGGAGGGGAGTGAAGTCCCCGTTCGCATCACTTAATGTTAATTTATCACTCATTATTTATTTATCCCCACTTCTTGGGTCACCATTGTCTCTGTTAAAATACCGTGTTTCTCTCTCTGTCATTGATGAGTTATGAACAAATCCACAAGGGCCGTGACGAGGATTCGAACCTACGTCCGGGAGCATCCCAAATGTTGCCTTAATCGACTGACCTACGACTCTTCATTTGATGCATCACGCTATTGTGATTTCTGTGTGTATTGATGAGATATCTTTTGTTCTATCATCATCAATTCACTGTGTCATTCCAGACTTTTTTTTTCTCTCCCTTGTCTAACTGGTTATTGAATCACCATCACCATGCTAGATAGTGAGATACAGTGTCACTGCCACAAACAGACCAAGAGTTACGGCGGATATAAAGGGCCATTAGAGTAAACACATCCTCTTAGCGTTTGTGCAAGCACTGGAAAATACAAATGCTGTGACTAGCTAATTATATATATATCCCGCCAAACACACAGCGAAACTACGACGTTGGTACAACGTTTGAACAAGTTTTAACACTTCCTTACCAGTTATAACAACCAATATAGCAAGTTGTAACAACGCTCTAATACGTCATAAACCATAAACACGTTAAGCCAAGATGTAACAACTTTATTACAAGTTGTAACAAGCGGAAAATAGAGACAGTTTCGGTTTGTGTTTCCTGGTAAGTGGTGTGAGACCGGGTTGTGTGTAGTGATGTTGCTCCACAGCTCAAGAGGAGTGCTCAAGAGGAGTGCTCAAGAGGAGTGCTCAAGAGCAACACTGTCAACCAACCCCGCTGCTCACAGCCACACACTGTAATACTCTCTTACTTCCACATTACATATCAAAGTTTTCCCCTTTGTCTTATGTGGGTTTTTTTCAACCTTTTATGATGTTCGACTCTTTGGTGATCTGTAATATGTGAGTACACGTGCGCGCGCGCACACACACACACACACACACACACACACACACACACACACGCAGTTTCAGGTGTAGATATGATAGAGCCCAATAGGCTCAGGAACCTGTACACCTGTTGATTGATAGTTGAGAGGCGGGACCAAAGAGCCAGAGCTCAACCCCCGCAAGCACAACTAGGTGAGTACACACACAGGAATAGAGAGGAAGACAACACATGGTTACACATACAATAGTAAGAAAGCCAACATCAAACAAGAAGCATGGATACAAAATACGCGGGAAAACAAGATATGAGATTAAAAATGAGATTAAAGAAACAAACGTGGACAACAAAGAATGAGCGTGCACACGCAAGGTTAGTAACAATACAAACAATATAAGAACGACGTAGCCTCTAAAGTTAAGGACCAACCCTATAATTCACACACACACAAAGCTGAGAGCCACAGACGCTCAGTTGGTGAGGCTTACCTAGACAAGGAGCATCGAAGGCCAAGAACACAGAAGGAATCCATCAGTCTCAGGAGACTAGTCGGCCGGAGCCGACTTGGAGCCGGTCGGCCGAGCAGACAGCACTTGTGATCCTGTGGTCCTGGCTTCGATCCCAGGCGCCGGCGAGAAACAATGGGGCAGAGTTTCTTTCACCCTATGCCCCTGTTACCTAGCAGTAAAATAGGTACCTGGGAGTTAGTCAGCTGTCACGGGCTGCTTCCTGGGGGTGGAGGCCTGGTAGAGGACCGGGCCGCGGGGACACTAAAGCCCCGAAATCAACTCAAGATAACCTTAAGATAAACACCCACGTACACTCGCCCGAAAATCCAGTGAATTAGAGCGAAGAAGAAGAGAGCAGAGTGAGAATCTTTCGCTCTTTCTCCGAGACGTATCGGGTTACTGGACGAGCAAAGCATAACAAGGATTTTATATCGATTTCTAATTTTCTCTTTTCACTTGTCCTAACCCATCCAGTACTCGACTCAAACTTCTGCTTCGTTCTCAAACACGACAAACATTAAATCTTTTCCCAAATTAGTTTACGGCTTTTCAGTGATCAAAAAGAGTTAATTACGATAACAATGACTATTGAAGTGCACGTGAGACTGTTACGAACCCGGATCCAGCGTCCGAGCCCAGAGCAGTGACGACCGCGCCATCTGTGGGTCAGCTCCCGAAACCCCCACCAAATGGACGACGACACCTGGTGAGGACAAGGTGTACTGGCCACAAGGGCCAGTTTCCAGACCGGTTCAGCTCACAACACAGCCGCTGCTGACCTCTGGTGAGGTGGTGCTCAGACGACAGCGCCATCTGTCGCGGATACGACAGATGGAGTGGATACGTCGGGCGTATTCTATGGAGTGGATACGTCGGGCGTATTCTATGGAGTGGATACGTCGGGCGTTTGTGTCTGAGCCTGTAAGTGAGGTGCTTTAGTGTCCCTGTTATTGATGACGTGTCTGCTTACAGAGTCGACCTGGGACTGCTGTGATGGAAGTTGAGTCAGTCTACCCAAGGCAGCTGTCCCCATACCTTGTGCTTTGCTGTAGCAGCTGTGAGTCGTCTCCCGGAGGAACACTGTGGTGTTACCCTGCCTGTGAAGTGGCAGTGAAGGATTGTCTTACCCGGGACCGACTGCTGGAGACGATTATCCACTGGGGTATTGAGGACAGGAGAGTGATTTGTGGTATCACACGAGGCTCCTGACTAGGGCGCTACCCTAGTATCGCTCGTGGAGTGGCCTGACCAGCGTCGCTGATCCGGAACCTGCCAGCAGACCTGCTGGACTTGTGGTTGACGGCCTCCACGGCGGTGCCCCCAGTGGAACTGTGTTTTGGCTGGCCTGTGTTTGGGGTAGACTCAGCTTGGTCGAAGGATTCGTCAAGAGACCACGAAAGCACCGAGGACTTGGCACCGAGAGTTTGGATCCAGAGTCTTCAGGAGAAGACAATTGTGTAAATAATTCCCTTGTGCAGTGTTAATATCCCTCCCCCTGTGTAATCTTATATTATTTATTGGTGATGGGAACAATTATAATCTTAAGTTCTTAACTTTATTTCCCTTCCCCTTTAAGTTACTTGCGTCACGGATCTCATCCCTTGAAAGCCACTACTGGCTTGGGGCCGGATACAACTTCCTCTAATAACATCAGAGTACGAACTCAGTTGCGACCCGAGAGGGCCGTAACAGACATAATGGGATACGGGTCTATATTAAAGAAAGAGGGGGAGGAGAGGGTTGAGTGGTGGTGGCACCCCCCCCCCACCCCCACTGCAGGTCTATATAACACGCTGGAGTATAGAATACAACACTCTAACACCCTCCCTCGCCAGGTGTATGTGCTGTATCGCCAGGTGTATCTAATTCATCCCCGGGAATACATCTGCACTCTCAGTAAATTCATAATAGGATTGCTATATATATTAAATACAACAGTATTCCCTACTATGTTTACCCTACATATGAGCCACCAACTACAGGTAGAGAGATCAAGAGACAATATACAGATTTACATCATTCAACTGCATTACCAATATATACAAAACCATTCTGCACTAATGTTGTCCTTGCTTTCCCTACCCACAGGTACATCACCACCACCACCACAGCACCACCACAGCACCACCACCACAGCACCACCACAGCACCACAGCACCACCACCACCACCACAGCACCACCACCACCACACCACCACCACCACAGCACCACAGTACCACCACCACCATGAAGACTTGTGCCGTCTTCCTCTTGTGTTTAGTGGTCTCTGGCGCCGCCTTCCCAGTCTCCCAAGACGAGGAAACACGTGACAGTCGTCTCTTCCCTCTCTATGTAGACCCATCCGCCACAATATCGTCTTCCTATTCTAAGACGTGGGGAGGGAAATCGGCCATCACGGTCCTCTGTCCCCCTATTATATGTGGGTAAGGGATGTACCTATTACCCACCCACCCTCCAACGCAAACAAGGCAAATCTGGGTAAATGACCTTAATGATACAATGAATCAACATTGATGACGCTAATGATACAATGAATCAACACTGATGACGTTCATTATATGTTGCTCTCGAGAGATACTGTTGATTAATTCCCCGTTACTGTATCGTTATTTGTATCCCCGTTCAGTCCACCAACGTACTTTTACCGTTACCTGGTAAGGCATTGTTTAGCAGCATTAGAGTCCCCCGTTTTCTGTGTTTGGTTCCCCGTTACTTTACTCATCATTCTTGAGACGCGAGACTCATCGCTGAGTCGTCAGTACCTACGTCACAGTTAACTCACTTTTGCCTCACTCATGCCTGAGTCAATGCTGGTTCACTGTCGGGAAAGTCGGCGGTGAAGCTTCACAGTTCTTCAAAATTATGTGTTTTTATAGATTTATGATTTTGTATGAAAACTATGTAAAACAAAAAACAATATATATATATATATATATATATATATATATATATATATATATATATATATATATATATATATATTGCCAATAAATATAATTTATATTAACTTTTATCTTTTTTTTAACCTCATTTGATGAGTTTTGCAAGAAAATATTATTGAAAAAGCCATTTATTATCATCGAAAAAGAGCGTAAATTTGCTGGAAGTCGTATTTGCTTCATTTATGATATCTAAATAATATAAGCTCACGATATCAAGTTTTAATTTTAGGGAGATAAGTTTGTTTTTGTAATTGTTTCTTATGCGCATGTACAGCCTGTGTTTGTTTATTGTTTACTTATTTCATCAAAATTTGATAAAACAAAAACAAATCGAGAGTAATCGCTTCAAGTTCAGCGTCGTAAATCCTGAACTAAATCCCTTTTAAATTTGCAATTGTTCACTTTTCAATGACTTTTAATTTACTTAATAAAAATAGCTTTTCAATGACTTGAATTTACTTAATAAGAATAGCTTTTTAATGACTTGAATTTGCAGGCAAGAAGTCACAATAACGTGGCTAAAGTATGTTTGACCAGACCACACATAAGAAGGTGAAGGGACGACGACGTTTCGGTCCGTCCTGGACCATTCTCAAGTCTCGATTGTGAGACAATCGACTTGAGAATGGTCCAGGACGGACCGAAACGTCGTCGTCCCTTCACCTTCTAGTGTGTGGTCTGGTCAACACTTGAATTTACTTAATAAGAATAGCTTTTCATACCAAAATAATACTAAATACCAGTTGCCAAATATCCCTGTATTGTATATACAGCAAGAGTATACTTTAATCATTGACTATGTTCAGGAGTAAACTATACAGGTTGCAGAGATGGTCAGAGAAATGGCTACTGGAATTCAACACGAGCAAATGTAAAGTTATGGAAATGGGACTAGGAGATAGGAGACCAAAGGGACAGTACACAATGAAGGGGAACAGCCTACCTGTAACGATGGGTGAAAGAGACCTGGGGGTGGACGTAACACCTAATCTATCTCCTGAGGCACATATATAAATAGGATAACGACAGCAGCGTACTCTACACTGGCAAAAGTTAGAACATCATTCAGAAACCTAAGTAAGGAGGCATTTAGGGCGCTTTACACTGCCTACGTGAGGTCAAGTCTTAGAGTATGCCGCCTCATCATGGAGTCCCAATCTGAAGAAGCATATAATGAAACTGGAAAAGGTTCAGAGGTTTGCAACGAGACTCGTCCCAGAGCTACGAGGGATGGGGTATGAGGAGCGCCTGAGGGAACTGTGCCTTACGACACTAGAAAGAAGAAGGGAGAGGGGGGGCATGATAGGAACGTAGAAGATACTCAGAGGGATTGACAGAGTGGACTTAGACGAAATGTTCACACGGAATAGTAACAGAACGAGGGGACATGGATGGAAGCTTGAAACTCAGATGAGTCACAGAGATGTTAGGAAGTTTTCTTTTAGCGTGGGAGTAGTGGGAAAATGGAATGCACTTCAGGAACAGGTTGTGGAAGCAAATACTATTCATAATTTTAAAACCAGGTATCATAGGGAAATGGGACAGGAGTCATTGCTGTAAACAACCGATGCTCGAAAGGCGGGATCCAAGAGTCAATGCTCGATCCTGCAGACACAACTAGGTGAGTACAACTAGGTGAGTACACACACACACACACACACACACGCAGTTTCAGGTGTAGATATGATAGAGCCCAATAGGCTCAGGAACCTGTACACCTGTTGATTGATAGTTGAGAGGCGGGACCAAAGAGCCAGAGCTCAACCCCCGCAAGCACAACTAGGTGAGTACACACACAGGGGAATAGAGAGGAAGACAACACATGACTACACATACAATAGTAAGAAAGCCAACATCAAACAAGAAGCATGGATACAAAATACGCGGGAAAATAAGATAAGAGATTAAAAAGAGATTAAAGAAACAAACGGGGAAAACAAAGAATGAGCGTGCACACGCAAGGTTAGTAACAATACAAACAATATAAGAACGACGTAGCCTCCAAAGTTAAGGACCAACCCTATAATTCACACACACACAAAGCTGAGAGCCACAGACGCTCAGTTGGTGAGGCTTACCTAGACAAGGAGCATCGAAGGCCAAGAACACAGAAGGAATCCATCAGTCTCAGGAGACTAGTCGGCCGGAGCCGACTTGGAGCCGGTCGGCCGAGCGGACAGCACTTGTGATCCTGTGGTCCTGGCTTCGATCCCAGGCGCCGGCGAGAAACAATGGGCAGAGTTTCTTTCACCCTATGCCCCTGTTACCTAGCAGTAAATAGGTACCTGGGAGTTAGTCAGCTGTCACGGGCTGCTTCCTGGGGGTGGAGGCCTGGTCGAGGACCGGGCCGCAGGGACACTAAAGCCCCGAAATCAACTCAAGATAACCTCAAGATAAACACCCACGTACACTCGCCCGAAAATCCAGTGAATTAGAGCGCAAGCGTATATACCCACTCAAGAAGAGAGCAGTGAGAATCTTTCGCTCTTTCTCCGAGACGTGATAACGGCATCGGGTTACTGGACGAGCAAAGCATAACAAGAATTTTATATCGATTTCCAATTTTCTCTTTTCACTTGTCCCAACCCATCCAGTACTCGACTCAAACTTCTGCTTCGTTCTCAAACACGACAAACATTAAACCTTTTCCCAAATTAGTTTACGGCTTTTCAGTGATCAAAAGGAGTTAATTACGATAACAATGACTATTGAAGTGCACGTGAGACATAATGGGATACGTGTCTATATTAAAGAAAGAGGAGGAGGAGAGGGTTGAGAGGTGGTAGCACCCCCCCCCCCCACCCCACCCCCACTGCAGGTCTATATAACACGCTGGAGTATAGAATACAACACTCTAACACCCTCCCTCGCCAGGTGTATGTGCTGTATCGCCAGGTGTATCTAATTCATCCCAGGGAATACATCTGCACTCTCAGTAAATTCATAATAGGATTGCTATATATATATTAAATACAATAGTATTCCCTACTATATTTACCCTACATATGAGCCACCAACTACAGGTAGAGAGATCAAGAGACAATATACAGATTTACATCATTCAACTGCATTACCAATATATACAATATATACAAATATATATATAATGTTGTCCTTGCTTTCCCTACCCACAGGTACATCACCACCACCACCACCACCACAGTACCACAGTACCACCACCACCATGAAGACTTGTGCCGTCTTCCTCTTGTGTTTAGTGGTCTCTGGCGCCGCCTTCCCAGTCTCCCAAGAAGACGAGGTCTCCCAAGAAGACGAGGTCTCCCAAGAAGACGAGGTCTCCCAAGAAGACGAGGTCTCCCAAGAAGACGAGGAAACACGTGACAGTCGTCTCTTCCCTCTCTATGTCGACCCATACGCCACAATATCGCCTTCGTATTCCGAGACGTGGGGAGGGAAACCGGCCATCACGGTCCTCTGTCCCCCTATTATATGTGGGTAAGGGATGTACCTATTACCCACCCACCCTCCAACGCAAACAAGGCAAATCTGGGTAAATGACCTTAATGATACAATGAAGCAACATTGATGACGCTAATGATACAATGAATCAACACTGTTGACGTTCATTATATGTTGCTCTCGAGAGAGGCTGTTGATTAATTCCCCGTTACTGTACCGTTATTTATATCCCCGTTCAGTCCACCAACGTACTTCTACCGTTACCTGATAAGGCATTGTTTAGCAGCATTAGAGTCCCCCGTTTTCTGTGTTTGGTTCCCCGTTACTTTACTCATCATTCTTGAGACGCGAGACTCATCGCTGAGTCGTCAGTACCTACGTCACAGCTAACTCACTGTTGCCTCACTCATGCCTGAGTCAATGCTGGTTCACTGTCGGGAAAGTCGGCGGTGAAGCTTCACAGTTCTTCAAAATTATGTGTTTTTATAGATTTATGATTTTGTATAAAAACTATGTAAAACAATATATATATATATATATATATATATATATATATATATATATATATATATATATATATATATATATATATATATATATATATATATTGCCAATAAATATAATTTATATTAACTTTTATCTTTTTTTTAACCTCATTTGATGAGTTTTGATATTATTGAAAAAGCCATTTATTATCATCGAAAAAGAGCGTAAATTTGCTGGAAGTCGTATTTGCTTCATTTATGATATCTAAATAATATAAGCTCACGATATCAAGTTTTAATTTTAGGGAGATAAGTTTGTTTTTGCAATTGTTTCTCATGCGCATGTACAGCCTGTGTTTGTTTATTGTTTACTTATTTCATCAAAATTTGATAAACAAAAACAAATCGAGAGTAATCGCTTCAAGTTCAGCGTCGTAAATCCTGAACTAAATCCCTTTTAAATTTGCAATTATTCACTTTTCAATGACTTTTAGTTTACTTAATAAAAATAGCTTTTTAATGACTTGAATTTACTTAAAAAGAATAGCTTTTCAATGACTTTGATATAGGCCTTAAGTCCAGTCTCCAGTCCAGTCCAGAGGTTAATATAGGCCTTAAGTCCAGTCTCCAGTCCAGTCCAGAGGTTAATATAGGCCTTAAGTCCAGTCCAGAGGTTAATATAGGCCTTAAGTCCAGTCCAGAGGTTAATATAGGCCTTAAGTCCAGTCCAGAGGTTAATATAGGCCTTAAGTCCAGTCTCCAGTCCAGAGGTTAATATAGGCCTTAAGCCCAACATCATACCACACTCTACGCGACTCAATCACCCGGAGATCATTTAATGTAACAGACTTCCTTTCTGTTACACATCCCCAGGAAGCAGCAGCCCGTAGCAGCTGTCTAACTCCCAGGTACCTATTTACTGCTAGGTGTACAGGGGCAACAGGGTTAAAAAAAAAACTGCCCATTTATTTCCGCCTCCGCCGGGGATCGAACCAGGAACCTTTTAAGATTACGAATCCCGACTTCTGTCCACTCAACCGTCAGGCCCCGCAAGCTTATGGGTGCTGATATTCCTACTTATTTTCCTAACTAAAACTTTATTTTATTAATCAGTTTTATTAAAATTTATTTATTTATTAATATTTTATTAAAAGTGTTTTTTAAGTGAAAATAAATTTTGACTTAAATTATTTTGATCAGGTGAGAGTATACTTTAGACCAGATTCACGAAAGCACTTACGCAAGCACTTACGAACCTGTACATCTTTTCTCGATCTGTGGCGGCTTTGTTTATAATTACTAAACAGTTAATGAGCTCCGAAGTACCAGGAGGCTGTTTATAACAATAACAACAGTTGATTGGCAAGTTTTCATCCTTGAAAACTGTGTAATAAATGTAACCAAAGCCGTCAAAGATTGGGGAAAGATGTACACGTTCGTAAGTGCTTGCGTAAGTGCTTTCGTGAATCTGGCCCCAGGCTTGCCTGTTATGTGGCGAGAAGTAATCTACTCCATTTATATATTACTTTATATAATTTGAAGCCATTAGTTCAGCTTTCATTGATTTATTAAACTAGCGCTGCTGTATAAAATGTTCAATTACTGAGTATTGTTAACACTTTTGGGTATACTTAACACCCTTGTGTGGAAGAGTGTACTACACACTTTACACGTGGTCAAAGAGTTTACAAGTGTGAGTTAAACAGTGGCCAGTCAATTAGTATTCAGAAGACTACCTTCAACACCTGCTCACGTGTCTTTGTTTCGCTAATTAGTAATAAGAAAGTAAACAGTTTAAAGATTGTAAACAGAACCTTCTACCTTAAACCAATTCATTCTCCTTTCTCAACATTTAACCGTTTCTGCATACACTACAACACCTGTAGCCCTCCTATACACCTCATCAACACCTGTAGCCCTCCCATACACCTCATCAACACCTGTAGCCCTCCCATATACCTCATCAACACCTACAGCCCTCCCATACACCTCATCAACACCTGTAGCCCTCCCATACACCTCATCAACACCTGCAGCCCTCCCATACACCTCATCAACACCTGTAGCCCTCCCATACACCTCATCAACACCTGTAGCCCTCCCATACACCTCATCAACACCTGCAGCCCTCCCATACACCTCATCAACACCTGCAGCCCTCCCATACACCTCATCAACACCTGCAGCCCTCCCATACACCTCATCAACACCTGCAGCCCTCCCATACACCTCATCAACACCTGCAGCCCTCCCATACACCTCATCAACACCTGCAGCCCTCCCATACACCTCATCAACACCTGCAGCCCTCCCATACACCTCATCAACACCTGCAGCCCTCCCATACACCTCATCAACACCTGCAGCCCTCCCATACACCTCATCAACACCTGCAGCCCTCCCATACACCTCATCAACACCTGCAGCCCTCCCATACACCTCATCAACACCTGCAGCCCTCCCATACACCTCATCAACACCTGCAGCCCTCCCATACACCTCATCAACACCTGCAGCCCTCCCATACACCTCATCAACACCTGCAGCCCTCCCATACACCTCATCAACACCTGCAGCCCTCCCATACACCTCCTCAACACCTGTAGCCCTCCCATACACCTCATCAACACCTGCAGCCCTCCCATACACCTCATCAACACCTGCAGCCCTCCCATACACCTCATCAACACCTGCAGCCCTCCCATACACCTCATCAACACCTGCAGCCCTCCCATACACCTCCTCAACACCTGTAGCCCTCCCATACACCTCATCAACACCTGCAGCCCTCCCATACACCTCATCAACACCTGCAGCCCTCCCATACACCTCCTCAACACCTGTAGCCCTCCCATACACCTCATCAACACCTGCAGCCCTCCCATACACCTCATCAACACCTGCAGCCCTCCCATACACCTCATCAACACCTGCAGCCCTCCCATACACCTCCTCAACACCTGTAGCCCTCCCATACACCTCATCAACACCTGCAGCCCTCCCATACACCTCATCAACACCTGCAGCCCTCCCATACACCTCATCAACACCTGCAGCCCTCCCATACACCTCATCAACACCTGCAGCCCTCCCATACACCTCCTCAACACCTGTAGCCCTCCCATACACCTCATCAACACCTGCAGCCCTCCCATACACCTCATCAACACCTGCAGCCCTCCCATACACCTCCTCAACACCTGTAGCCCTCCCATACACCTCATCAACACCTGCAGCCCTCCCATACACCTCATCAACACCTGTAGCCCTCCCATACACCTCCTCAACACCTGTAGCCCTCCCATACACCTCATCAACACCTGTAGCCCTCCCATACACCTCCTCAACACCTGTAGCCCTCCCATACACCTCATCAACACCTGCAGCCCTCCCATACACCTCATCAACACCTGCAGCCCTCCCATACACCTCATCAACACCTGTAGCCCTCCCATACACCTCATCAACACCTGCAGCCCTCCCATACACCTCATCAACACCTGTAGCCCTCCCATACACCTCATCAACACCTGTAGCCCTCCCATACACCTCATCAACACCTGTAGCCCTCCCATACACCTCATCAACACCTGCAGCCCTCCCATACACCTCATCAACACCTGTAGCCCTCCCATACACCTCATCAACACCTGTAGCCCTGCGTAAACTACTTGCCATTCACAGTAGTGGGTGATGAGTTGCAGAGTTGTCAATGTGCACCTCAGATTGACGGTGTTTTGTGTTGGCAACAAAATTCTAGAATAGAAATTGATGCAATTTGGTTCAGTTATTTTCGCAAACATTATTCGTTATTTCACTCAGATGAGTGGTGGTAGTCACAGTACTGGAGCACCAGGCGGAGGAGTGGTGGTAGCCACAGTACTGGAGCACCAGGTGAAGGAGTGGTGGTAGCCACAGTACTGGAGCACCAGGTGAAGGAGTGGTGGTAGCCACAGTACTGGAGCACCAGGTGGAGGACTGGTGGTAGCCACAGTACTGGAGCACCAGGTGGAGGAGTGGTGGTAGCCACAGTACTGGAGCACCAGGTGGAGGAGTGGTGGTAGCCACAGTACTGGAGCACCAGGTGAAGGACTGGTGGTAGCCACAGTACTGGAGCACCAGGTGGAGGACTGGTGGTAGCCACAGTACTGGAGCACCAGGTGGAGGACTGGTGGTAGCCACAGTACTGGAGCACCAGGTGGAGGACTGGTGGTAGCCACAGTACTGGAGCACCAGGTGGAGGAGTGGTGGTAGCCACAGTACTGGAGCACCAGGTGAAGGAGTGGTGGTAGCCACAGTACTGGAGCACCAGGTGGAGGACTGGTGGTAGCCACAGTACTGGAGCACCAGGTGGAGGAGTGGTGGTAGCCACAGTACTGGAGCACCAGGTGAGGGAGTGGTGGTAGCCACAGTACTGGAGCACCAGGTGGAGGACTGGTAGTAGCCACAGTACTGGAGCACCAGGTGGAGGACTGGTGGTAGCCACAGTACTGGAGCACCAGGTGGAGGACTGGTGGTAGCCACAGTACTGGAGCACCAGGTGAAGGAGTGGTGGTAGCCACAGTACTGGAGCACCAGGTGAAGGAGTGGTGGTAGCCACAGTACTGGAGCACCAGGTGGAGGACTGGTGGTAGCCACAGTACTGGAGCACCAGGTGAAGGAGTGGTGGTAGCCACAGTACTGGAGCACCAGGTGGAGGACTGGTGGTAGCCACAGTACTGGAGCACCAGGTGAAGGAGTGGTGGTAGCCACAGTACTGGAGCACCAGGTGGAGGACTGGTAGTAGCCACAGTACTGGAGCACCAGGTGGAGGAGTGGTGGTAGCCACAGTACTGGAGCACCAGGTGGAGGAGTGGTGGTAGCCACAGTACTGGAGCACCAGGTGGAGGAGTGGTGGTAGCCACAGTACTGGAGCACCAGGTGGAGGACTGGTGGTAGCCACAGTACTGGAGCACCAGGTGGAGGAGTGGTGGTAGCCACAGTACTGGAGCACCAGGCGGAGGAGTGGTGGTAGCCACAGTACTGGAGCACCAGGTGAAGGAGTGGTGGTAGCCACAGTACTGGAGCACCAGGTGAAGGAGTGGTGGTAGCCACAGTACTGGAGCACCAGGTGGAGGACTGGTAGTAGCCACAGTACTGGAGCACCAGGTGGAGGACTGGTGGTAGCCACAGTACTGGAGCACCAGGTGAAGGAGTGGTGGTAGCCACAGTACTGGAGCACCAGGTGGAGGACTGGTAGTAGCCACAGTACTGGAGCACCAGGTGGAGGACTGGTGGTAGCCACAGTACTGGAGCACCAGGTGAAGGAGTAACAATGGCCTTGGCAGAGGGCAACATGATGGAAGAATAACAACAATATACCGAACACATTCTCCCTAATCCCTGACCACCTTTCGCGTCTCAACCCTTTCCCGTGACACTGGCTTCACCCTCACCCTCGACGCACACCAACGATTTCAGCGTAAACTAAACAAAACTCATCGCACTATCTATAATCCCATTATCCCTCGTTACAATCTGCAGGGCGAGTAAGTTGAATAAAATATCCTGTGCAGGAGATATAATTGGGTAGGCCTACTTAGTGCACAGGCGAGTGAGAGGTGAATGGTTGACACAGGTGACCTCCACACATACACACACTCTCCTGGGGAGCATAGTCGCTGGTGTATATAAGACCCCTTTCGTACTCTCATTCACCAATTGTCTGTCTGTTGTCTCAGCGGGTTGACTTAGGAGGTGGTGGAGGCACTCACAGTGTCTCATACACGCACTCGCAAGCCTCATAGCTGCTGTAAGTCAAACCAGGCACTCACACTTGTATTCGGCAATTTATCTTGCATTCGACAACGTGTTAATTCTTCAGTTGCACACCTGTTTTGTTCAACATGTTGCTGAAAAACAAAGTTGTTGTTTTTCGTGTTCTCGTACTTTTGTCAATATTAGTTTATGTATTCTTAGATTGATATATATGTCTCATATTCCTGGAGTCGAAGTCCTGTTGAAGACATACTTCCTCAACACGTGTTCCTCGAGACGGACGGCGAAAGAGAGATACTGAGGAATATTTAGATAAGAGTATAGGATGCACTACATTGGACTATTATCTATAGAGCTGACACACACACACACACACACACACACACACACACACACACACACACACACACACACACACACACACACACACACACACACACACACACACACACACCCACACATACCCAAGCCTTCCCAACACGGCTTTCCTTTCCCCTCACAGACGATTCCGACGACCACCAACGACCTCCGGCGCCTTCGACGATTACCGGCGCCTTCGACCACCGGAGTCTTCGACCACCGGAGCCTTCAACGACCCCCTGCGCCTTCGACGACCCCCAGCGCCTTCGACGACCCCCAGCGCCTTCGACGACTACCGGCGCCACCAACGACCATCATCGCCGCCATGAGGGGCTCTTGTACCACTCTTCTGCTGTGTTTCGCCCTCGCCGCCTCCTTTGCGGGATCCGACGGTTTCCCTAAGAAGTTTCTTGAGCCGTTTTTACTGCCCATCCCACTACCCGGGATCAACGCGCCTCCCGCTGGCACACCAGTCACCACGAATAAACGATTTTGTCTTCCTAATATCATATGTCCCATTAATCCTCCTCTCCCCGTTAACGGCTAGTCGCCGTTAACAAAGTCGATGTTAAGCTAATTCTTTATAGAGAATGTCTCACTAACGCGACTGGAAACCAAGCCAACTCACACCTATGGGATGAAAGTGACGAGGTTTGGTCCGTCCTCATGATGGACCCCCTTATCATGGGGTCACTTTCACTCAACTTCATGTGTGAGTTGGGTTGCTAATCATCACTGCTTCACTGTTTCTCAGATCACCGTTATCTCACTTGTTAAATCATTGCAAATTTCACTGTTATTAATCATTAGAGAGACACATGATTGACTCACCAGCGGTTAATGAGGTGTCTTACCGTATCCTCATTCTTGAAAAACGGCTGCCTCATCTTAACCATGTTGGGTAATGAGTGAGTCAGTAGCTGAGGTAAGGCACCGATGGAGTTGTACCGAGTTGTCACAATAAACATCATGTATTTTTTTGCGTGTTTCCTCACAACCTCTCATAACCCCGTAACCCCCGCATCACTACATGTGCCGCCGACCCCAAGCTGTCGGTACAAGAGGTCCTACGAACCTAAACACTGCTTTTTTGACGTGTTAACGAGGAATTAGAATCACTGAATACGTTTGACCACTAAACACATATGAATCCATTCTGTTCTTACACGCCGTGTTTACAGTTATGTTGTATGGTGTTCTTAGTGTTCAATGTGTCACTATCCCTTAAGTGTACACTTGCGAAACCGCTACATCTTTCCTCAATCATGTGGGAGTGTCAACTTCGAAACGCTATACGACGTTTTCTTTGACAATAGAATTTCGTTGCCAAGCCTCGAAGCTCACAATGTGTTTAATACAGACTGAGCCGCCATCATCCAGGAAAGATGCACAGGTTTCGTCAGAGAAAAGGAAAGCAAGGTAAGAAGCAAGACCACACTAAAGTGGGAGGAGGGATGAAGGAAGACATACAGAGGAAGTGAAAACCAGGAAGCAAGAGGAAGCAGCGATAACGACAAGGATTGCTGAGGCAGCGAGAAGACTTCGAGTGGACGAGAATAGAGATTGAAAGATGATAAAGCAGTCGCCAAACATAAGAAACAAAGGAGGAAGATAAAAGCAGCTGTAATAAATCAGGGTCACCGAGTGCATATGTTTACAGCGACCTCCGGATACAGAAATATCGTCCAATCACAATACCCAGACGACTCAATACCCACCTGTCCTCTCACTTAATACAGAGTGCATATGTTTACAGCGACCTCCGGATACAGAAATATCGCATCAAACACAATACCCAGACGACTCAATACCAACCTGTCCTCTCACTTAATACAGAGTGCATATGTTTACAGCGACCTCCGGATACAGAAATATCGCATCAAACACAATACCCAGACGACGCAGTACCCACCTGTCCTCTCACTTAATACATCACAGTTTCACCCCTTTCGACTACAACGTAAACATTCCGACGTAAGAATAACAATGAACGCATCGCACTATTTGACGTTGTCTGGGACTAGCGAGCACCAGTCTCAACAACTTGCGTGACGCGTCAAAGTACGTGTGATTTTGGCTAGGTAAAAACCACTTCAAAATGGACGTTGAGAGCTGGCAATATGGAAGTTACAGCTTGTACAAAAGGATGCAGAGCTGATTACATTAGGTGTATGTTAGAAGTGACTACTGAAGGGTATTGATATTCAAAGTACAATGCTTACCTGACCGCCTGATGCAAAGAGGGCAAGTCATGCTCGCCTTCTTGATTGTCTGCTTGCTTGCTTGCATGCTTACTCCTCTGCATGCTTGCATCTCTGCTTGCTTGCTTGCTTGCCTCTCTGCTTGCTTGCATATGCCACATCTTTGAATCCCTTCCATATTATACACAAACGTAAGCCATTTGCTTCATGACCTGTGTGGGGAAGAGGCAGCAAGAGACCACCACCACCACCACACCCGGGCACATTTACATATGTGTTACCAACACGGCAGCCAAGCCTGCACTCTCTACAACCCTTTAAACAAGACGATCCAAGCCTACCGGCCCTACTGAACACCCGAGACACGGCCCCCTCACCAAGAACACATTACTTAACGCTCCACCAATATCGTGAGAATAACGACATTGTATCAATGGTTTGAGGAGCAACGACTCGGTTCAGGTTCGCCGGATGAGGGTAGAATAGCAATGCAAATTACCAGTATTACTGGTCTTTAGCCCCCCCCCCCACCCCCTCTTCCCAAGTACCCCCCCCCCCCCTTTCAGTATTACAGTGAGAAGGGGGGTGGGAAGGGGGGAATATAGTCTCCCAATCCCGTTATCCGGAACGGGCTTCCGCTTGCGTTATCAAGCAAAGCAATACTCCAAGCACAACCCAACGTTAACACCTGTCACAGCCGCATGAAAAGCTTAAATGAGGGGAATCGACATCAGCTGACCACAAAGCTGGTAAGGAAGAGGTAGGATGAGGGGTACAGAGGGCGTAATGTTGGTGCATATGATGAGGTGATAACAGATGAATATTGATGAGTACTTCAGGTGGTTAGGGGGGGGGGTAGAGGTGAGAGCTACCCAGGATAGTGTAGTGAGACAAAGGGGGTGTTGTCGGGGGACTAAGAAAACTGTAGTGGTAGAAGTAAGAACTAACTAGCCAGGATAGTCGAAGAGGGGACAACTGGTGGAAGCTATGATGAGAGTTAACTAACCAGGATAGTGTCGAGAGAGGAGGGGGGGGAGGGTAAAGACTAGATACAGCTTCCTATCCGCTCGAGGTATATATAATACAGCAGAGGGTGTGTACCGACCACTTCCCTAGGCTCCCTCGCCAGGTGTGGGTGTGGCTCTTGCCTTAAGTGATCACTGTATCACCGTCGTCTAGCCGGGTACAGCGGCTTTGTCTCACAATATCTTGGCTTTCCTCACCAGGTAAGGCAGCGAGAGGAGGCCCACCGTCACCCTATGGGAAGGGAATGCTCACAGAAGGCACAAGTCTGCTTCTACCCACCTCTAATATAATCTACCCACATCTAATATAATCTACCCACCTCTGTAATATAATCTACCCACCTCTCTAATATAATCTACCCACATCTAATATAATCTACCCACCTCTGTAATATAATCTACCCACCTCTGTAATTTAAAGAGTAAATACAGCAAAACAGGACAAAATAAAAATATAATGAGAAATATATATATATATATATATATATATTATATATATATATATACATATATATATATATTCACACACTTTCAATACAGTTATTACTGAACAACGTTGTTGGCTGATAAGCTATTGTGGTGGCCTTAATAATCCATCAGAGCTTGATAGCCCAATACCAAACATCACAATCCCCCCCAATCACTGACTAATCCCAATCACTTGACTAACCAAATGGCCAACCCCAGCCCTGATCTTCCATCTCCTCCACAGGTGACACCTCCCACTATGACGACCTCCTGCTCCGTTACGACCCCCGGCATCCTCCTGCTGTGTCTGGTGGTCGCTGCCGTCTCCTCCCCGTCAGGAGAACCACCAGAAGACACGGCTACTGACGACGGACGCTTCTTCCTGCCTATTTACTCTCCCTTCGTGAATGCGTCCTTCCTCAACACCAACTGGGGCTACAAGAAATTCATCGCCCTCTGTCCCCCCATTTTCTGCGGGTTTAAGACGGGGAAATAGGTTTCCGGCAGAGCTCTTTTTAACGTTGAGGCAACGTTGGTGATTCGACGTCGCTTCAACGTTGGTGATTCGACGTCGCTTCAACGTTGGTGATTCGACGTCGCTTCAACGTTGGTGATTCGACGTCGCTTCAACGTTGGTGATTCGACGTCGCTTCAACGTTGGTGATTCGACGTCGCTTCAACGTTGTGATGCGACGTTGCCTCAAAGTTGTCTGCGCCGTTGTTCCTACGTTGTTACGCCTTTTGGGGGGGGGAGGGGCGTTGATGGGTTCCCGTTGGTTTTCAGTTGTCTAACTTATTATCCTCGTTATTTTTTATATATTACCGTTAATTATGTACACTGTTGTTATGTGTTTCACTGTTGCTCTATCATTACATGCGTCACTGTTGTGTAAATACCTGTTTCGTTATTGTATGTATCACTGTTGTATAAATCACTGTTGTTTCATCATTTCATGCATATCACTGTCGTCACGTAAGTCACTGTTGCCTCGTGGTTTTACGAGCTATTACTACCTCATTGTTGCATCACTGTTGAGTCCATGTTACCATATTTCACGCTTCACTGCACGACTGTTTATAAGTCCTTGCCTCCCGTTGACTGGTGCCTCAAGTCACTGTTACTGTGTCAGGTGGCTCAGTCACTGTTACTATGTCAGGTGGCTCATTCACTGTTACTGTGTCAGGTGGCTCAGTCACTGTTACTGTGTCAGGTGGCTGTGTCACTTACTGTATCAGGTGGCTCATTCACTGTTACTGTGTCAGGTGCCTCAGTCACTGTTACTGTGTCAGGTGGCTCAGTCACTGTTCCTGTGTCAGGCTGTGAATGAGTATCCCAGACGTCCCAGGATGAACGTCTGGGATACAGTGCCCAGTTGCTGCAATAAATAGTATACAATCATAATGGTTTACTGTTGACTCCTCTTGACCAATGTAGAGTTGTTTACAAGGATACCCTGTCATGGGAGAGTGGTCCATCAGGCTCACACCATCCTAGTCTCTCTGTCAGTCAGATTCCGTTCCATCTGATGGAACGGAATCAGATTCCATTCACCCATCTAAGCGAGTCTAACAGAAGAAAGAATTGATGGAATATGAGATATAATCGTTAAGTTTAGCATCATAATCTGGCAAACCAATATTGATGTGACCACCAATTGTAGATATTATACTTTTTATTTTATTGATACGAGTCTTAAATTCTTGTAAAGCCACTATCACGTATAGCGTTTCGGGCAGGTCCTTTAATCCTAATTCTTTCCCAGGAATACGATCTGCTATATCGTTTCACAACCAGATACCCATTCACTGCTGGGTGAATAGAGGCGTACAGTTAAAGATTGGTGCCTAGTCAATCCTCCCTGGCCAGGATTCGAACCCAGGCCAAATTGCTTGCGAAGCGGGGGGGGGAGAGATTTTACCACTGCGCCACAGGAACTGTAATAAAAGGGGGAACTTAGTTCTTTATTCCTTATTCTTGGTTTGTTATTCCTTATTCTTGGTTTGTTATTCCTTATTCTTGGTTTGTTATTCCTTATTCTTGGTTTGTTATTCCTTATTCTTGGTTTGTTATTCCTTATTCTTGGTTTGTTATTCCTTATTCTTGGTTTGTTATTCCTTATTTTATTATCTGGATCATTGCCAAATCAGTCCTGAATATTTTATCGTTTCCGGAGGCATCAGTGCCTTCCTTATCACAACATATTTTACCCATCTTATTCCCTTTCCCCTCAGTTATCTGATCCAGCTCCACATTCTCTTAACCATTTCCATTTTCACCCAGTCC